CATTCATAGGTTGATCACTTTTGGTCAGGTATTCACATCTGGATAAGGTACCTGCTTGTGGCCTGACCATTAGTAATCCTTCTAATAAACCATCTGGTTTTGACCGGCCTCGCTCTGTCTGGTCGAAATTGAACAGAATTAGGGGTGAATTCTGGAAAATGGGCCTCTGTCCTGCATCAGAGGGGATGGACAGATTCCCCTTGTTGCGATTGTGGTGCTGCTATGCAAACTATTAAGCATGTTGTGTGAGTTTGCACCACGATGTGCATTCTCAGGGACCCTAGAAGATCTGCATGAAGTGACGCCAGAGGCCATCGTCTGGATAGCTGAACTGGACATCCAGTTATGAGGCGCCTGTCAAAAACCCCGTAGAAATTGTGTATATTATTACGTGGATTGTGTGTATATTTTACTTTTGTCGTGTTCTTTTCATACACTAAAAAATAAAAATCTGGACAGACAGACACAGGGAAGGAATAATTATATTTTCACAAAGATGGATATAAACATCAGTGAATATATGGCTGAGAGTTAAATGAAGCATCCCGGGGATCTGACTATTCTGGATTAAGGTACCTGCGTCCAACCCATTCATAACCATCTTCATCTTAAAAAGAGGTTATTTGCGGAAGAAAAATAATAATAATAATAATAATAATAATAATAATAATAATAATAATAATAATAATAATAATAATAATAATAATAATAAGAAGAAGAAGAAGAAGAAGAAGAAGAAGAAGAAGAAGAAGAAGAAGAAGAAGAAGAAGAAGAAGAAGAAGAAGAAGAAGAAGAAGAAGAAGAAATAATTAGAAATAACTTACAAATAATTAGCTGTTATTGGCATGGCGCCTGTGACCTTAATAAGAGATTCAATAAATAATAGTTCTTATTTAACAAATAAGCAAGCTTTCAGCATAGTTCAGATCTGTCATTAGCAGTCGTACGTTGTGATTGGGATGAAAATAAATACATAAATTCTTTCGTACAGATTTTATTCTGGTAATAATGACATCTCAGAGATGACTGAATTCTAATTCCCGTCATCTCTGGACCACCGTAGCCTTAATCTTTATTTTAAATACTTATCTTAGAAACTGATCAGGCTATTTCCTAGATGTGGATGAATGATTGCATCAAAACAATTAATGCAATTTGGTTACATGTTAGAATACGGTGCTACAGGTAGTCCTTGGCTTATAACTGTCCGGTTAGCGACCGTTTGAACTTATAGCAACTCTGAAAAAGGGACTTGCAACCAGTCCTTATTCTTACAACTGTGGCAGCATCCGTCTCGTAATCAAAATTTGGGTGCTTGCCAACCAGCACCTATTTGTGACAATTGCAGTGTCCCGGGGGTCAAGCGATCACCCTTTGCAAACTTCCAGCCAGCTTCAGACAAGCCAAGTCGAGGGGGGGGATGCCAGATTCAACTAATGACCATTTGATTTACCGAAGGTCTGTAGTGGTTCACTTAACAACCGTGGTGAAAAGGTCATAAAACTGAGCACACCTCAGTTAACAACCTCTTTGTTTGGCAGTGGAAATTCTGATCCCCATTTTGGTTGTAATTCAAGCACTCCTGGTGTAAGCAAACTTTTTCTGTCACTGGAAGAGATTGCCACATAAGAACAGAAAAGGGGGGGTAAGGAAATTTGGTATTTCGTTAGAAAATCATCAGAATTAAGCTCAAAGCCCATGGCTCCATGTCCAGGCCACACCCCCTGCATCTGATCCTCTTTCTCAATACGGTGGCTGAAATATTTTCTCATCCCAATTTGCAACCTATCAGAAACAAATGAGGTTCTCATTTGCCACACCTTTGGGCTTTTATATTGTTGGTCTTTTTTCTCCAACTTAAAGAGAATTTGAGGCCAGCCGTGAAGGTCAGTAGAATCTGGAGCTTCAAGAATCAAAATTATACCTCTCCTCAGTCTTTCTTTCTTTCTTTCTTTCTTTCTTTCTTTCTTTCTTTTCTTTCTTTCTTTCTTTCGTTCTTTCATTCTTTCGTTCTTTCATTCTCTCTCTCTCTCTCTCTCTCTCTCTCTCTCTCTCTCTCTCTCTCTCTCTCTCTCTCTCTCTCACTTCACTCAATGGACTCAGTTTTTCTAACCTAAAACCTGGAAAAAGAAAAAGGCAGAGAGAGAAAAACCCTGCTACAATGCATATATTCCAGATGTGGCTTGATATCTAAATTCTGTTCATCTATTCTCATTAGAAGCTTACCTGTCCCAGGTAACCAGGTTGAATCACCTGTCTGCTTTATCGCCTTCTGGCAGGCTCCACCTTGCCTGGGAAATCAGGTTGATGGTCCACCAACTCCAGAGCTGATGAGTTACTCTGATGAGGAAGCTGCTCAGGTGCTCCATGCGGAGGAGTACCACGGAGCGGGGAGCCTGTCCTCAAACCAGGATTCCCACTTAAGCCATGATGGACGTCATGATGAAGGTAAGCTCTGCATCTAATTCACAACCACTGGATTTGGACAAATGGAAGGCAGGAAGGATTTAATCCCACTTCTTTCAACAATCAAATTTAGTACAGGTAGTCCTTGACTTACAACCATTCGTTTAGCAACCATTTGAAGTTATAATGGCAGTTTAAAAAGTGATTTATGAAGATGTTAAGACTCTAGAAAGTGGGCAGAGAAGAGCAACAAAGATGATTAGGGGACTGGAAGCAAAAACCTATGAAGAACGGTTGCTGGAATTGGGTATGTCTAGTCTAATGAAGAGAAGGACGAGGGGGGACATGATAGCATGGTTCTGATAGGCAAAGTCAAAGGGGAGCAGGGGGGGGGATCTGGATTCATTTAACGACCATGTGATTCACCTAACAACCGACTGGTGTAACAAACAGGCCAAAAAGGTCATAAAAGCAGATGGGACTCATTTAACAACCGTGTTGCTTAGCAACACAAATTCTGGTCCCAGTTGTGAATGTAAGTCGAGGACTACCTGTACATTAAACGTCAATTTAAGCGGCCATCCTAAAAGCGTGCCCACATGCCCAGGTGGCAAATGACCATCCCATGACCTCAGGATGCTACAACCATCGCAAATACATGCCAGTTGCCAAGCACCCGAATTTTGATCACGTGACTTTGGTGATGCTGCAGCGGTTGTAAGTACGAGGACTTTAGTGCCGCTGTAACTTTGAACAGTCACTAAACGAATGGTTGTGAGGACTACCTGCCCAATAGCCTCTTCATTAACCCTTTGAAAGAGACCTGTTTTTGTTTGTTGCAAACGTTAGAACCGTTACGCAAACATTTCTTAGGAATTCTTTTAATCTTAAGGGAAAGTTAGGTAACAATTCTAACATCTGCAACTGTTTCTATGTGTGGAGGGTAATTAATGTATGTTTTCAAAACAGGATTAACAGAAGTTGTTTTCTTCATTAGCATAATATCTTAAATGCTTCCTTTCTTTTCTTTACATATTGTAATATGTAAACTAGGCATATTCAACCGGCAGCCCACAGCCACATGCAGCCCTGGATAGCTAGTAATATGGCCCCACATGATAATAAAAATATTAAAAAATTAAGTCTGTTATTGATATACATTACCTACATTTAATATTTTGTATGTGACCCAAGACAATTCCTCTTCACTCAGTGCAGCCCAGACAAGCCCAAAGGTTGGTCAACCATGATCTAAACTCCAGATTATGACCAATTCGATTTCCTCAACAACAATTCCCTGTCATTTTTGGAGTCAATTTCTTAAAAAAAATCATAGGCATTTAATTTTCTTGTGAGAAAAAAAAACCATCTGGGGAGAACATTTTTTAAAAGCAAAGATAATGGTATGGCTTATATTTGGCTTTTTAAGTCTCCTATTGTGGTTTTTTTTAAAAAAAAAACACTTTTCACTGAGTTTAAAGTCACTTTGTTATTGCATCCTTCTTAGAGTTCAAGTTATCACAAATTTGGTTCATTAGTTCAGAATCTGATGAAATGAAAATGCTGGCACAAAACAGGGAACCCATAGGTTCTGCTTAATGACCACCCAATAGTCCTCAATTTACAACCATAACGTAGCCTGGCAATTAAGGTCATAAGTGATGATAGTTGTATTTGCAAGGGAATTGAATAAATGGCAAATAAATTTGATAAATAAATCGCAGGATGGTTAACGCTCAGCTCCTTCCAGAAAGGAGAAAAGCACCTGAGGGGAAAAAAAAAAACCACTGAAGAAATCTCAGCTCTGCTCTGAGGCATTTACAATAAGATGAGTTACACAAGCTAATTATCCTCCTTACTCTTTTTTTCTGACAGATCTTTGGGGTACAAAAGGCCTGTCAGGAATGGTTTTTCCATAGTGATGCTTTAGGCTAGTAGCATTTGCTTCAACCTTAGCAAGTTTAAGATGTCTGGACTTCGGCTCCCAGAATTCCCCAGCCACCCAAGCCGGGAACGGAAGTCTATCCATTTTAAAGAATGCTGGGATTCTGGGAGTTGAAGTCCACGCTTCATAAATTTGCTGAGGTGAAGAAACACTACTTTAGGCAAGTAGAGATTCCAGGTAGGCCTCAGCTTATAAACACAACTGGGACCGGAATTCCATTGCCAAGCAAGACACTTGTTAAGTAAAAGGCACCCGATTTTACAAGTGTTTTTGCTGTGGTTCGTAAGTGAATCATCGCACTTATTCAGTGAATCATGTGGTCGTTAAACAAATCAAGCTCTCCCCCCTTGACCGTGTTAGTCAGAAACCAGCTGGGAAGGTCATAAAAGGCGATAACGAGTTCCCAGGATGCTTCAACTGTCCTAAGTACACGCCTGTTGACAAGTGCCTGAATTTGGATCTCATCATCATGGGGATGCTATGACGGTCGTAAGGGCAGGAACCTAGTCACTTGTTTCAGGGCTATGCCAACAGCTAGCTAGGGACACTGATGTGTGGATCCTCTGGTTATTTTCCATTCTTTTTTCTTTTCTTTTCCNTGGTGGTTGATCCCTGCATCATCGTTTCTTGCTTGGAGAATGCTGAGAGCATGAAGGGAATGGCGGACAACGGCTACCTGTACCTCAATCGTATAATGACCCTTCCGTTCTCCATACCAGAAATAGCCATCGAGTCCAAGAGGAAGAGTTTGCAGGACACCTTGACGAAACTGGAAGTTCTGATCAGTACAGGGAACCTAGAAGAGGCCAACAATTCAGAGAGCCAAAAGCAGATCGATGCACTGGCATCCCAGTATATCCATGATGCTTTCCAATACTTGCAAGATGAAAACAATTGTCTCTACCATTATGTCCCAGATAACATTAACCAGATGACGAGGATCGGCAACACCATCATTCTTATGATCAGGTTGATGACTCAACAGCACCTCCTCAGGAACAAGCGCTGTATCCAGAATGTGGCCGGTTGGGTGGTGTTGGCCAACCAGTGGCCGTGTCGCTTGAGTTGGATCCTCCAATGCGTTGAAGACAAGTTGCAATGCATTGAAGACAAGTTGCACAGCGGTTATGAGAAGAAGTTGATGTGGGCCGTCTTTGTGGAGACTTGTCCTGAGCTGTTCTCCAAGCAAAAAGCACTCCAGAACCTCATGGCCTTGGATGGCGACCCTGAACTTTTTGAGAATTTCTTGTCCGGTGATTTTCCCTTGACCATAAAAGAAGGGAATAAATTCCTGAAGTATACTGTGAATTTAGACCGTTCCTTAAAATTTAAGATGGGACAGCTACGGGCTCTGGCTACTCTGGAGAAGAACTACAGCAAAGGGGGAGCAAATTCAGAGAAGAGGGCTTAGGGATCATGGATTCCATGTGCACTTCCTGGAAATCCTGGGGTGAAAGAAATTTAGCAGGGTTTCATTCACTGGGAAGATGGGAGCAAGAAAGACAGAAAGCTGTACAGATCAGGGGTGGCAACTATGGCTCCTGAACCACCTCTGGACTTCAACTCCCAGAATTCCTGAGCCACTTGACTCAAGAATTCTGGGAGTTGAAGTCCATAGATTGTAAATGTCTATGGAGATTCATGGTTGTCCCTAAAGTGGCTTTCCAAAAGGCAGCTGTTAGGGTTAGGATTTTTTAAAATAACATTCTTAATATTTAGCAAACAGCATGTTTTCTGGAAACATGTATTTAAAAAGAAAAAAAATGAGTAGTAACTAATTATCATAACAATATGTTAATTAATCGCTCGATAGTCTTCTTACTAGTATATATTCAATATCACATTCCTTTCTCTCTAACTCGTTTTTCTAGCCATTGATAAAAGTTATCCCATGTTCTAAAATACACTGAGTCTTCTTTCTCTTTTATCTTTAAAGTCTATCTATCCATTTCTGCACACGCTTAAAGTTTCTTAATTAATTCTTCTTCAGTTGGTAAATTTTCATTTTTCCAATGTTGGGCAAATACAATTCTTGCTGCAGTTAGTACATGTAAAATTAAATATATACAGTCTTTATCATAATTTGCTCCTATTGTTCCTAATAAAAATAATTCTGGCTTAAAGTCTATTTCTTTTTTAGTCATTTTTTCCAACCATAAATATATTTTGGACCAAAATCTTATAGTTTTTAGGGCATGTCCACCAGATATGGAAATAAGTACCTGGTTTTTGTTTGCATTCCCAACACTTGTTTGAAGTACTTTTAAACATTTTTGCTAATCTCACTGGTGTTAAATGCCATCTGTAAAACATTTTATATAAGTTTTCTTTATATATGCCGCTGCTTTTATTAATTTAGTCTTTCTGTCCCATACCTTTTGCCAGTTTTCTAATTCTATATTATGTCCAAAGTTCTTTTCCCAACTATGGCTCCTGTACTACCTGTGGACTTCAACTCCCAGAATTCCTGAGCCATCGATGTGGAAGACTTCGGATAGTAGAAGTTGGTGTAGGTTGTAAGACCTCAGCTTACAACCACTCATTTAGTGACCATTTGAAATTACAACTTCATACAAGTTTTCACACTTGCAACCATTGCAGCATTCCCATGGTATTGTGATAAAAATTCCGGTGCTTGGAAACTGGCATGTACCTATGACAGTTGCTCTGTCCCGGGGTCACGTGATCCCCTTTTGCTACCTTCTGATGAGCAAAGTCAATGGGGAAGACAGATTCAGGAGCTGAAGTCCACGTGTCTTAAAGGGACCTTGGTTAAAAAAAACACAGTTTTACAGCCTCCAACATCGGCCTTACTTTCAGACCCCTGAAATATGGTGGATCTTTTTTTCTGCATAAACATTCATAGGTTGATCACTTTTGGTCAGGTATTCACATCTGGATAAGGTACCTGCTTGTGGCCTGACCATTAGTAATCCTTCTAATAAACCATCTGGTTTTGACCGGCCTCGCTCTGTCTGGTTGAAACTGAACAGAATTAGGGGTGAATTCTGGAAGACAGGCCTCTGTCCTGCATCAGAGGGGATGGAAGGATTCCCCTTGTTGCGATTGTGGTGCTGCTATGCAAACTGTTAAACATGTTGTGTGAGTTTGGATCACGATGTGCATTCTCAGGTACCCTAGAAGATCTGCATGAAGTGACGCCAGAGGCCATCGCCTGGATAGCTGAACTGGACATCCAGTTATGAGGCGCTTGCCAAAAGCCCCGTAGAAATTGTGTATATCATTACGTGGATTGTGTGTACATTTTACTTCTGTCGTGTTCTTTTCATACACTAAAAAATAACAATCTGGACAGACAAACACAGGGAAGGAATAATTATATTTTCACAAAGATGGATATAAACATCAGTGAATATATGGCTGAGAGTTAAATGAAGCATCCCAGGGATGTGATTTTTCAACACCAGCGTCCAACCCATTCATAACCATCTTCATCTTAAAAAGAGGTTATTTGCGGAAGAAAATAATAATAATAATAATAATAATAATAATAATAATAATAATAATAATAATAATAATAATAATAATAATAATAATGAGAAATAATTAGAAATAACTTAGAAATAATTAGCTGTTATTGGCATGGTGCCTCTGACCTTAATAAGAGTTTTAATAAATAATAGTTCTTATTTAACAAGTAAGCAAGCTTTCAGCATAGTTCAGATCTGTCATTAGCAGTCGTAAGTTGTGATTGAGATGAAAATAAATACATAAATTCTTTCGTACAGATTTTATTCTGGTAATAATGACATCTCAGAGATGACTGAATTTTAATTCCTGTCATCTCTGGACCACCGTAGCCTTAATCTTTATTTTAAGTACTTATCTTAGAAACTGATCTGGCTATTTCCCAGATGGGGAGGAATGATTGCATCAAAACAATTAATGCAATTCAGTTACATGTTAGAATACGGTGCTACAGGTAGTCCTTGGCTTATAACTGGTTAGCGACCGTTTGAACTTATAGCAACCCTGAAAAAGGGACTTGCAACCAGTCCTTATTCTTACAACTGTGGCAGCATCCGTCTCGTAATCAAAATTTGGGTGCTTGCCAACCAGCACCTGTTTATGACCGTTGCAGTGTCCCTGGGGTCAAGCAATCACCCTTTGCAAACTTCCAGCCAGCTTCAGACAAGCCAAGTCGATGGGGGCGATGCCAGATTCAACTAATGACCATTTGATTTACCGAAGGACTGTAGTGGTTCGCTTAACAACCGGGGTGAAAAGGTCATAAAACTGAGCACACCTCAGTTAACAACCTCCTTGTTTGGCAATGGAAATTCTGATCCCCATTTTGATTGTAATTCAAGCACTCCTGGTGTAAGCAAACTTTTTCTCTCACTGGAAGAGATTGCCACATAAGAACAGAAAAGGGGAGGGGAAGGAAATTTGGCATTTCGTTAGAACATCATCAGAATTAAGCTCACAGCCCATGGCTCCATGTCCAGGCCACACCCCCTGCATCTGATCCTCTTTCTCAATACGGTGGCTGAAATATTTTCTCATCCCAATTAGCAACCTATCAGAAACAAATGAGGTTCTCATTCGTCACACCTTTGGGCTTTTATTTTGTTGGTCTTTTTTCTCCAACTTAAAGAGAATTTGAGGCCAGCCGTGAAAGTCAGTAGAATGTGGAGCTTCAAGAACTAAAATTACACCTCTCCTTCCTTCCTTCCTTCCTTCCTTCCTTCCTTCCTTCCTTCCTTCCTTCCTTCCTTCCTTCGTTTCTTTCTTTCTCTCTCTCTCTCTCTCTCTCTCTCTCTCTCTCTCTCTCTCTCTCTCTCTCTCCACTCAATGGACTCAGTTTTTCTAACCTAAAACCTGGAAAAAGAAAAAGGCAGAGACAGAAAAACTCTGCTACAATGCATATATTCCAGATGTGGCTTGATATCTATATTCTGTTCATCTATTCTCATTAGAAGCTTACCTGTCCCAGGTAACCAGGTTGAATCACCTGTCTGCCTTATCGCCTTCTGGCAGGCTCCACCTTGCCTGGGAAGTCCAGTTGATGGTCCACCAACTCCAGAGCTGATGAGTTACTCTGACGAGGAAGCTGCCCATCTGCCCCATGCGGAGGAGTACCACAGAGCGGGGAGCCTGTCCTCAAACCAGGATTCCCACTTTAGCCACGATGGACGTCATGATGAAGGTAAGCTCAGCATCTAATTCACAACCGCTGGATTTGGACAAATGGAAGGCAGCAAGGATTTAATCCCACTTCTTTCAACAATCAAATTTAGTACAGGTAGTCCTTGACTTACAACCATTCGTTTAGCAACCATTTGAAGTTATAATGGCAGTTTAACAAGTGATTTATGAAGATGTTGAGACTCTAGAAAGTGGGCAGAGAAGAGCAACAAAGATGATTAGGGGACTGGAAGCAAAAACCTATGAAGAACGGTTGCTGGAATTGGGTATGTCTAGTCTAATGAAGAGAAGGACGAGGGGTGACATGATAGCATGGTTCTGATAGGGAAAGTCAATGGGGAGGAGGGGGGGATCTGGATTCATTTAACGACCATGTGATTCACCTAACAACCGACTGGTGTAACAAACAGGCCAAAAAGGTCATAAAAGCAGATGGGACTCATTTAACAACCGCGTTGCTTAGCAACACAAATTCTGGCCCCAGTTGTGAATGTAAGTCAAGGACTACCTGTACATTAAACCTCAATTTAAGCGGCCATCCTAAAAGCGTGCCCACATACCCAGGTGGCAAATGACCATCCCATGACCTCAGGATGCTACAACCATCGCAAATACACGCCAGGTACCAAGCACCCAAATTTTGATGACGTGACCTAGGTGATGCTGCAACGGTTGTAACTACGAGGACTTTAGTGCCGCTGTAACTTTGAACAGTCACTAAATGAATAGTTGTGAGGACTACCTGCCCAATAGCCTCTTCATTAACCCTTTGAAAAAGACCTGTTTTCATTTGTTGCAAACGTTAGAACCGTTACGCAAACTTTTCTTAGGAATTCTTTTAATCTTAAGGGAAAGTTAGGTAACAATTCTAACGTCTGCAACTGTTTCTGTGTGTGGAGGGTAATTAATGTATGTTTTCAAAACAGGATTAACAGAAGTTGTAAACTAGGCATATTCAACCGGCAGCCCACAGCCACATGCAGCCCTGGACAGCTAGTAATATGGCCCCACATGATAATAAAAATATTAAAAAAATAAGTCTGTTATTGATATACATTACCTACATTTAATATTTTGTATGTGACCCAAGACAATTCCTCTTCACTCAGTGCAGCCCAGACAAGCCCAAAGGTTGGTCAACCATGATCTAAACTCCAGATTATGACCAATTCAATTTCCTCAACAACAATTCCCTGTCATTTTTGGAGTCAATTTCTTAAAAAAAATCATAGGCATTTAATTTTCTTGTGAGAAAAAAAAACCATCTGGGGAGAACATTTTTTAAAAGCAAAGATAATGGTATGGCTTATATTTGGCTTTTTAAGTCTCCTATTGTGGGTTTTTTTTAAAAAAAAAACACTTTTCACTGAGTTTAAAGTCACTTTGTTATTGCATCCTTCTTAGAGTTCAAGTCATCACAAATTTGGTTCATTAGTTCAGAATCTGATGAAATGAAAATGCTGGCACAAAACAGGGAACCCATAGGTTCTGCTTAATGACCACCCAATAGTCCTCAATTTACAACCATAACGTAGCCTGGCAATTAAGGTCATAAGTGATGATAGTTGTATTTGCAAGGGAATTGAATAAATGGCAAATAAATTTGATAAATAAATCGCAGGATGGTTTATTTATTTATTTATTTATTTTATTATTCGAATTTATATCCCGCCCTTCTCCTTGCGGACTCAGGGCGGCTGACAATCGATTAAAAACACCAATAACAATTACAAAATTAAAATTAATTAAAATGAAATATTTAAATTGTCTGATTAAAATATGATTAAAAACCCCTCTAAAAACCCCTCTTAAAAATTGCCCTAGGNCCTCCCCCTTGGGGTCGCCAGCCGGCACTGTCTGGCCGATGGCACCCTGAGGAGACCCACCCTGTGGGAGCGTACTGGCCGATGGGAGGTAATCTGTGGCAGAAGGCGGTCTCGAAGGTATCCTGGTCCGCTGCCATGGAGCGCCTTAAAGATGATAGTCAGCACCTTGAAGCGCACCCGGAAGGCCACCGGCAGCCAAGGCAGCTCGCGCAGCAGCGGTGTTACGCGGGAGCGACGAGTCCCTCCCAACACCGCCCGCGCGGCCGCATTTTGGACTAGCTGGAGCCTCTGGGTGCTCCTCAAGGGAAGCCCCATGTAGAGAGCATTACAGTAGTCCAGGCGGGAGGTGACCAGAGCATGAGTGACTGTGTGCAAGGCGTCCCGGTCCAGAAAAGGCCGCAACTGGTGAATCAGGCGAACCTGATTCCCTTGGACACAGGTTAACGCTCAGCTCCTTCCAGAAAGGAGAAAAGCACCTGCGGGGAAAAAAAAAAACCACTGAAGAAATCTCAGCTCTGCTCTGAGGCATTTACAATAGGATGAGTTACACAAGCTAATTATCCTCCTTACTCTTTTTTTCTGACAGATATTTGGGGTACAAAAGGCCTGTCAGGAATGGTTTTTCCATAGTGATGCTTTAGGCTAGTAGCATTTGCTTCAACCTTAGCAAGTTTAAGATGTCTGGACTTCGGCTCCCAGAATTCCCCAGCCACCCAAGCTGGGAACGGAAGTCTATCCATTTTAAAGAATGCTGGGATTCTGGGAGTTGAAGTCCACGCTTCATAAATTTGCTGAGGTGAAGAAACACTACTTTAGGCAAGTAGAGATTCCAGGTAGGCCTCAGCTTATAAACACAACTGGGACCGGAATTCCATTGCCAAGCAAGACACTTGTTAAGTAAAAGGCACCCGATTTTACAAGTGTTTTTGCTGTGGTTCGTAAGTGAATCATCGCAATTATTCAGTGAATCATGTGGTCGTTAAACAAATCAAGCTCTCCTCCCTTGACCGTGTTAGTCAGAAACCAGCTGGGAAGGTCATAAAAGGCGATAACGTGTTCCCAGGATGCTTCAACTGTCCTAAGTACACGCCTGTTGACAAGTGCCTGAATTTGGATCTCATCATCATGGGGATGCTATGACGGTCGTAAGGGCAGGAACCTAGTCACTTGTTTCAGGGCTATGCCAACAGCTAGCTAGGGACACTGATGTGTGGATCCTCTGGTTATTTTCCATTCTTTTTTCTTTTCTTTTCC